GGCACTCTTTCGAGTGATGGGGTTCTAGGCACTTAACGCACCTGGGTGGAGCTGAGCAGTGAGCTGAGCTGCCGCGTGCCCATAGAGTTGGCAGCGGTGGCACTGCGCTGGGTAACCGCGCCGGTGTGGGGCTTCGACCTTTACACGCGACAGGCCGTACACAGTGCGTACCTCGCGGAAGATGGCCTTCGCCTCCGGCACATTGGTGAGAACAAGGAGGGCAAGGTTAAATCTTTCACCCCTGCTGCTGTGCATTTTGTGCACAGCCTCTATGGGGAAGCCCTGAGACTTAAGGTCTTCCAGAATATCCTCGTTTGCTAGTTCATAGGGAACTCCGCTTTCTTCGGCGAGGGCGTATGTGTGATAGGACACACGCTCGGACGTGAATAGGCGGGTTATATTCCGGAAGTCTTCTATAGACGCCGGCACTATTTTGATTGCCTCGCCGACATTGGTGGCATGGTCATATTTGAAACTCTTATCGTAAAGGGTTTTGGATAATTGAGTGAATTTAGCCTTGTCTCTGAGAAAGACAGGGGACGGGACTTGGTTTTTAGGCAATTTGGGAGCGCAGCGGGTTGCTGGCTTGGCGGTGAGAGGCGGCAGCGTTTGGGGCTGCGGGAGTAGGGGCAACGATGGAAGCTACGGAGATAGAGGCAGCGGCGGAGGGAGTGCGGGCGGCGGCGGCGGCCGCTGGGGCGGGGGGAGTGCGGGAAGTCGCGGAGCGTTTCGGGCCGCGCTTAGATTTCACTAGCGTGAATTAGGCTGTGTCGGTTATAGTTCCTTCGGAGTCAGATGAATCCGAGGGGCCGGTGGAGCTGAGGGCGGACCTTTTCCGTGAGGAGGAGGTAACGGACGTGGTGTCCGAGTGCTCCATATCGGAGTCGGGGTACGCGGACGAGTCGGTCTGCGGGGCAGCCGCTTTGGTCGCGAGGAATGCCGCGACGGCGGGTGGGGGGAGGCATGCCTTAGGGGCACGGGGGTAAGATTTATCGAGAAACTGTCAAGGTCAACGCCTTGGGTTTTTAAGAATTGATGGAAAAGAGCCAAAATGTGGCTAGCATCCATAGTAGACGTGTTGGGCGGACAGGGGGGTGACGATTTATTCTATGAAACTAGAGGTCCCTGTTCTGAGAAGAACAGGGCCTTGAGGGCAGATGGGGAGGACTAACGTTCTATTCCCAGAAGCTGGGGTCCCTATGTTCTGAAAAGAACAAGGGCTCGCTCTGAAAAGAGCAAGAGACGATCTTCTAAGAACAGTATATACAACAAGTAACAGTATAACAAAAACAACAGAAAAATTAAAAATGAAACAAAACAAAGCAAAGCGCGCTCAAGCCTCCCCGCCGGAGCAAGGGGGCAAAAACGATGCGAAAAACAAAGTGACTCACCAACGGCGTCTGCTCGGCCGGTGTTAGCCGGGGAGAGCGGGGCGCGCGGGCTAGCGGTTGCGCTACCGAGGGGTCGGAGCGCGAAAAAACTGTATGCACGACCGCTCGGGGGCGGCGCGCAAACGGAACTGAAAAAAGTAATTTCTAAAAATGCTAAATATATACATGTCCATTTCAAATCTTTATAAATTTGTTGTAATGATGCTTCTAAGGCTTAATTTATTTATTTAAGGTTTAATAACCAGAGCTATTTATTGCTGTTTTCTAGTTTCTTTTTTTTTACTTTAGAATCATTTTCAGTTTTATACTGTACAATCTTTTATTTAGTGCTCCGTAAGATTTACATTTCGTTGAATTTTTTTCGTTTTCTTCAAGTAATTTTTGTAGTTTATGTAACAATTTGCTGTAATATTTCAATGTCTTGTCGCGCTCCCTTTTTATCTTTTTTATTTTCTTGATTCTTTGCCGCTTCTGTCTCTTCCAATGAATGATTGACGTTTTATGATTTTTGTTGATTTTGATTTCCATTTTGCACTGCATTCTTTTTGCTTATATGTCCAATACTTTCTTTTTACTCGTTTTTCGTCACTAAGCTCAGATTTTTTTATGTTTAACCTTCATCTTTTATAAATTTTTACTTCTTGATTCTTGTAACTTTTCTGGTTTATTCTGGCTTATTTCGATAGCGTTTCATTTCGTCCGTGGCAGTTAGCGTTGCCATTTTGTACGATAACCTTAAAATTAAAATCATTTATTTGAGATTTCATTCAGCACAATAACATCTCCATAAAAAACTGTTCAAATAAACAAAAACACGACTTCAATGAAATCTTTGCTTTTGAAAGTTAAGGAGAAGAGGATTACTTCGTTAAAGTTTGTTTTTCGTTTATTTGAACATTTGTTTCACGATTTTTCATTTAAAAAAAACTTTCTATATTATAATTTTAATTTACTTTAGTGATTTATTTAATAAAAAGTTAGAATGGAATATCCTATTACTAAAAAAGGAATTATGAAAATCGGTCATGCAACACAAACAAAATAAGTTTTAAATATAACAATACTTTTTGCAGACAAGTTTTTATACGCATACTAAATTTCATTCAGTTGCTATTAACTATTAAGCAGTTCCTTTATGAGGAGACGCTCCCGTCTGTGACATCAGGTTAAATCTGTTAAAAAACTGCTTTGTCATAAAAACTAAAAGTGCTTGCAAAATTTTAGCTCAATCGGATACCAACATTGAATTTTTTACATACATACGAACAGTGCAAGTTAAATAAAAGCAAAAACATTCGTGGTCGAATTGTGTGGTGTTTTTTTTTTTTTTGGAAGTCTGTTTAAAATAAATCATGGCTAAAAACTATGTATGGCATCGCCAACATGAAATTCGTTCTGGATTTCAATTAAATATATTCAGCAGATTATACGAGAGCGAAAAACAAATACTTACCTAACGTTAAACATACATTTCATATTCTAATATTTTCTATTCGTTGGCAGTAGGCTAATGTATTCGTCCCTTAATGATATCAATTTTGTTACCAATGAGATCAACATATACGTTACCTACTCAAAAGTAACAAAATTGAGGTAACAAAATTTGAGGTTATGGGATTCTTTACCGCCTAAAAATATTATTTTATTAGCTAACGTTGTAAAAAATAGTGAAACCAAGAGTGAATGCACATAGAAATCATTAGAGAAATTTTCTTTTTAATAAAGTATGTACTTACCGTTTAAACTCCAGTAACAAATTTGAGTTTAATCGGTACCCACGACACGTGCACGGATTGTTTGACACAGAATACATGTCAGCCTACCAATTTAAGATGAAAGGACTTAGACATGGAGAAAAATGTTTACACAGCATTAAAAACATCCAACACCAAAAAAGTAGTAATTTTTACAAAATATGTGAAGTATCATGGTAACAATGTTGATAATCAAAATTGAGTTAAATTTAGGACAACAAATAAATTGAAAACATTAATAAACTAAATAAATGAATGAGCAACCCCATCCTTCACCTCCTTTATCTCCTTCCCGAGGGTAGCGTGAAGGTCCTTCATGAGGAGCATCTGCTCTTCCAAACGACGGACCTGTTCCTCTTGTCCGCCCCGCAGCTGCTCTTCCAAACGACGGGCCTGTTCCTCCTGCTGCCCTTTCAACAGACGGGCCTGTTCCTCTCGTCCGCGCTGCAGCTGCTCCTGTAGCATCGCCATCAGAGCACCTAAATCAGGTGTTGCAGATGTAGGAGCTACTGACGGGCCTGCAGCCGGCGGCTGGCCCTCCGACGTCTGCGGCGTTGCACCACCAAATCTTCTTTGGTCCGTCTCCTGCTGGCGTTGACTTCTGGTACGGACACCCTCCGTTTCCTCCTTAGGTAAAATCGGCATAATTTTATCCCACTTCTGACACCAATTGTTACGAGCTTGAGGTTCGTGACAATAAAAATTGCCGATAGAATTACCTAAATTAACACTTTAATTTTATTTACACCAATTAAAACTTAAAACACTAACAATTAATCACACTGATTCAATTTACTCCGCTCCGAAGCTTCGCTTGTCTCGCCGAATTCAATACTTCCCCAATCGCGTATTGCAGCGCCTTTATATAGGGCTCTTCCACGAAAACATCCAGAATATTCCAAAATATACAAGTAAATACGCGCGCCAACCGACCAAGCGCAGAAAATTCGAGTGTGCGGCTTCTAGAGAGCTTAATTCTTCATTTAATGTTCGATACTAGATGGCGCTAGTGCCGTCGAATTCGGCGCGTAACAATATTAAGTGCTAATAATCGTTCCTCTCGAGCTTGACCTTCCTGCGAAATAGCTTTCGTAGTTCATGCAAACACTGATGGGACTGCAGATTTTTTTCAAGTAGCGATACTGATGTTCATTACCTAAAAATAATCAAAATTGTTAAGGAATATGTACCTATGTGTGGTGCAAGGTATTTTAAAACAATATCAAAGGAGATACCTGTATAAATACTGTTTTTTTGATAATCAGTTTCTAAAAAATGACTTTTTTTTAGACTTAAAATTTATTCTTCTTATAGCTTTAATCCACATTTTTCTTACTTCTTCGTTTTTAGGGAATTGATGTACACCAATTTCTTTGCAATAAGGTACTTCACACATCTTTGGCATTGTGAAAATAGTAATTATTCAAAATATCTCATACAATTTTAACTTTTTTGGTTAAAGCTATGCTAGCCCCACTTTGACAGTTGCCAACCCCATTAGAATCAATTTTACGTCAATTTATTATTATTTATTACAGTGCATTATAATTATAACATTGCAAACCGTGTGGTCGCGAGTTCTAGTCCCACCAGTAGTTGAGATTTTTTTCCACAATAATATTACTACGATACAGTTATAATAATACTTCAATTGATAATAAAATAAAGAATTAATAGTTTTTACTTTGTTTCTTGATGTAACTTCAAGTTTGTTTATAAATAGTAAACTTGTGAGTTTACTTGAGAGCTAACCTTGTAAGTACTTTTTATTACTTTAGTTATTAAGGATGAGCTTGATATGATGAATATGAGCAATATCATATAATGTGTTGTTACAGATTATTAAGAACTAATAATGCCAAAGAAAGCCAGACAAACATTAGAGCAGAAACGAGAGTGCGATCGATTACAAAAACAAAGAAAGTATGCAGAAATTAAGGAAGATCCTGAAAAGTATGTAATCTGAAGGCAAAAGAAAGAGCAAGATACCTTAAAAGAAAAGAACAGAAAAAATAAGTAGCGCAAAAGATATGACACCTAGACAATTGAGAGTTCAGAGGAAGAAGTGGAGAGTTAATTCAAAACGCCATTATGAAAGAAAAAAGAAAGAGAAAGCTATTCAACAGTTGTTAATAGATAATTCTCCACCAAATAGTGACAATGAAGTACATGCAGCTGAACAAGATCCTCTCACTCAATCAGATCTAAGCCCCATACCTAATACATATCTAAATCGTTTGGATTACGGTAATAGTAATTCTTGTCAAGGGTGCCTAAAGAAAGATATTCCTCTGAGAAAGGTTCAATACCTACATAAAAAAGAAATAGGCATTTTGAAACAAGAAATAGAAAAAACGAAGAAATAGAAAGACGCCATTAGAAAAATGCTGTATAGAATAATGAAAAATAAGAAGAAAAATGAAAATATATCGACTGAAAAAAAAAGTGGAACAATTAGTAGAACATGTTAATACACAAAAGCGTAAAGAAATTAAAGAGAGACTAATGTTTGGTGAAATACTTTCAAGAAGTGTTGGAGAAGAATACCACCTGTATTCTTTCTTGAGGAAAAAGGATAAGAAACAATTCTCTAATGTGATTATGACGGAAAAAAAAAGTTTAAAAAATATAAACTCTTTGACACAAGCATAAATATTTACAGTAAGAGGTAAAAAAGAATATAAGACAGCTAAAAATGAAAACTTGAAAGAGCAACTAATTTTCGAGTTTTTTGATGATGAGGAGGTGACTAGAATTGCAGCTGATAAAAAAGAATATATAACTGGAAACCAAATAAGGAAGCAGAAAAGATACTTAACGGACACATTGACTAATTTGTACAAAAAAATTACGCGTAATTCGAATGTCAAAGTAACGTATCAAAAATTTTGTAAATATCGCCCATTTTGGGTTTTATACCCAAAGGAGCCCAGTAGAAATACGTGTGCTTGCAAAGTTCATATTAATGTCGATTTGTTGATAAAATGTCTTAATACAAATAAAATACTAAAAGAATATAACAGGACGGGTGTTTTAGAAAGCTTATGTTGCACTTAACGACTCAATATCATTCCCCTCCTTGACGTTCTCATTACTGTTTCATTACGATTTTTGATATGATAGTAATTTTATTGTGCATTTTATGTACACTTAGTTAAAGAAATAAAATGCTTTGTATTTGTAATTGCTGTTTAAACTATACTATGATAGCCTTCGATTATAAGGATATATTATTTCATCTTGTGGAAAATAACAAAATATTTACAACTTTATACAATATACTACGAACTACGCTATTTTAAATAGTCCCAAAATAATTTATATAGTAATAAATATTTGCACACTATTTGAAAATATTATAGAACAATATTTTTAAAAGTACATAAGTAATCGCAAAAATTTTAAATTATATAACAGGTCTATATCGATAGTACACAAGACGACACAAGAAGGTGCGCGGGCGACGGGAAACGGGACGATGAAACTACTTGTGAGTAGCGCGTCGCCCGTTGCTATGGTTTCGCTTCCCCGTACCTCACACCTCACCGTGCCGACACCTATTTTTCGGTTCTGCGCACTTCCATCACTCGTGGCGTTACCTAATAGGTACCTAATCGCGCGCATTGAAATGTCATCGGACGGGGAAAGCGATTCGGTGTCAGGCCGCGAATATTTTGTTTTATTTTTGGAGTGTTACAAAGAATGTAGATGGTTATGGAACACTTCGGCAGCAGATTACTCAAATAGAGACTTGAGAACTAAGTCCTATGAAAGACTTTTAAAAGTTTTCAAACAATTTTGCAAAAATGCAACATTGGCTTATATGAAAAAAAATTGATAATTTAAGAACAACGTACAAACGAGAATCAAAAAAGGTGAGTATTTTTTCAAACTGGCGAGGCTAGTGTTTAGGTACTCTTCATGCGTAATGTCTACTAAAAATGAAAAATACAAAGTCCATTACTCATGTCATTCAATTATTTGTTTTAGGTTAGATTCCATGAAAACTGGCTCGGGAGTTCAAGATATTTACTGTCCAAAGCTTTGGTACTACGAATACCTTACATTACTTGATGAAAAAGATCTTTCACAAAGAACTGGTCAGGATAGCTTGGATGATGGTGCTGTCAGTAGTGGAAGTGTAAGTTCATTTTGAAAATATAACCGACAACATTTCCTATTGAAATGAAACTACGCCTTCATTATTAAAATAATTTGTAAATGATTGTCGCACTTCAGTTCCTTGCTCATTGCGCTGATTTTTAAGTGGACGAAGCGATACTAAAGGATGTGTTTCACGCCATTCGACGTTTCTTACGGTTGTCTTTTTACGCCATTGTGCTATGTGTTAATTGTTTTAAGGCATACACTTATTAGTGATGGTACTTTATGTTCTTTCTGACTGTTATCTTTCTTGGTGTGACTTCCTACAACATTTTCTTCACCATTGTGATCAGTATCATTACGAAGCTGTTTTTTTTGTTGCTGCTGGTGTTCTTCCCATCTTGATCATGCCAGACTGTCGAATTTTCCTTTTGGGATTGCATCTTTGTTCAAAGGGCATATGCCCGCTTTCCAGAAGCCATTTTGAATGACAACAGGATTTAAATCATCCCATATATTAGTTATGATTCTGGCAAATTCTTGTTTTGGGAGTTTTGCTCACACATGGAGTCTTTGCCATTTCACAAGTTCGATGTCCCATTTGTCTTTCATAGGTTTCATTGTACTACAGTCTAATGGCTGCAGTATGTGGGATGAGTGAGCCGGCAGTTTAAGAACCGTAATGTTTTCGGCAACTAGAAGGTCTATGACATTCAAATCTACATGTGTTTTATGACCATCATAGACCAATAAGACTGGTCGTTCTGCTCCGATAGCTGGCAAAATATTGTTCGAAAATGGTGGTCTCCATCCACCCTTTTTTACTGACAGCGTAAGCTGTATGAATGTTATCATTTTTAAACAGTCACTCGCTCCACAGATGTTTCCCTTGAAATATTATTAAGTTTGGATCTTTTTGCCAAGTGCATTCCGTCCCCTTAGTAACACTCAAAACGCATAAAAATCGAGATACGTTTTTGTATCTCGATTTTTATGCGTTTTGAGTTAAGTATGCAACTTATCTCAAAATTAAAAGTTACATTTAGTCATAAAGATACGTATCTCAATAACACATAATCTTTAAAATGGCGGTCGACGTATCTGTATTATGCTTCAAACAAATACAAACACAGAAACCTATCTGAAGATACGTCTCTGTGTTACTTGTAACATGCATAAAATAGAAAAAAATATTGAACCCTATCTGAAGATACGTATGTGTGTTACTTAGATTAAGCGATGTATGCACACATAAACAAATTATATAGATGCACGTGGTTGTTTGGCTCAGTCTGAGCTTGGAGCTGCACTTTAGGTCAGTTGCGGTTGGTGAGTGTAGAGATCCGGAGACCCTTTTTACTGGAAACGAGGCATTCTATTTAAGTCCTCAGGGGTGACAACGCATCTGCGTTTTGATTCTTAAGCTAGAATAAATGTAGATGTCTATGAGCCACAGCATCCACTTACCATCAGGTGGACTGTGTGCTCGTTTGTCACCCTTATTCTAAAAAAAAACAAGAGCGGTATGTCACAATGTTAGTGCAAAAAATTGAAGGAAAAGTTAAAACTGCTGGCGAAATTTCCAGATGAAACAAGATGCGACAGTTTTTCTTTTACAAAGATTGCGAAAAAGTTCAAGTATGTCAAGGGTTTTTCCGGCTATCCGAGATATATCTGAAGTATTTTAAAGAAAAGGGACGAAGCGCGTATTGTTGCTCCTAGCATGAGAGAAAAAGCTCCATCCAGATATTACTAGATCAAGCGAAAACAAAGAAATAATAGAGAAACACATTCTGTCCTTTCCTGCAGTGCCGTCCCATTATTGCCAAAAAAAATTAATTATAAGTACTTGCCAGATTTGTCTCTAAGGGATATGCATAATCTATACACCAAATAACGCATGGAGCAAAGGTTGTTCCTGAAAAGTTTTGGCATTTCAGATGAATTTTTAATAATCAAAACTTGAAATTTCATATGCCAATTAAGAACATGTGTGATTCAAGCGTTAAAGTACAAAAATTGCAGTGAGGATGAAAAACCAGCTTTATTTCCATTACACATGCAACATATCCGTCGGAAGGTTGAAGCACGTCAGTACCATGATAATTACAAGGAACCAGCAGAAAAAAAAAGTTTTGAATTTATTGAGATAGACTCGTTTTTTATAATGCGACAGTCTATGATGTTGAATCAAGGCGTGCGTCAAACTTTATGTGGCGTGAAGGTATTGCGTTTCCTGATTGAGGTTCCTACGAGTTTTCTTCCTGTCTTTATAAATATTTATTAGACCACGTCAATGAAAAAAAGTTCGTTATTATGAGTGATACTTGTTGAGACAAATAAAAAAGTTGCAAATATTAGATATTCCTGAAATAGAATAGGGTTACTTTAATACTTGCCATTCTATGATGAAGGTTGATTCTGTGCACGCAATTTTATTTGCAATTGCAATTTTAATTGCAATATCTCTATCTACCTCTCTCTAACATCTAAGGTATGTATGCCCCATTCAAATTCCTAGAAATTGTAACAAGAACACATTTTGGGCATGTAGTAAAAGTGATTACTGACAATTACAATTTAAGGAATTCGGCCCCTGTTTAGAAATAATAGGCCCATATTTTTTTATAACTTGTTTTCCTAGAGCATTGATTTTCAAAGTGGGGGGCGCGCTCCACTAGGGAGGCGCGAAGACATCTACAGGGGGGCGCGGTTGCGGGCGGTGGTTATCACTGCGGACACTCGCGCGCATACGTATCGCACGCTCCTCACTCCCTGCGCCGCTCGCGCCTTGCAAACACGTGTACTTTTGTTTCAAAGCGACTTGCTATTGTGTGTTAGTTAGAGAGTAGTGACAGTGAACGGTTATTTCTTTTGTTTCACCATGAGCTCAGCCAAAAAACGCAAGTATAATGATGATTATACTAAATACGGTTTTGTTTCTATGAATAAATGTGGTATCGACCAGCCGCAGTGTGTTATTTGTTATGAAGTATTGAGCAATGATGCCATGAGACCTTCGCGTCTGGAACGACATTTGTCAACAAAACACAGCGCTTTAAAAGACAAGCCGAAGGAGTTTTTTTGCTTCAAAATCTGCAAGTTTGAAGCGCATGAAATTGGATAGTACTGGATCCTTTGCTCAGTCATCTGAGAAAGTGCTTGAAGCATCATATGAATTGTCGCTACTCATTGCAAAGGCCAAAAAAAGCCATACTATCGGAGAAACACTCGTCAAACCCTGCTTACTGAAAGCAGCTGATATCGTTCTTGGACCAGAAACTAAACAAAAATTTTCACAAATACCTCTTTCTGACAACACTGTTAAACGTCGCATTGATGATATGGCTGAAGATATAAAAAATCAGGTAGTTGAGGCCGTGAAAGAATCATGTTTTTTTGTTGTCCGATACATACAAAACGAAACAATTAAAGACGAATTGCTGTTTTCAACAGAGTTAACGACAACTTCGAAAGCAATTGATATAATGACAGCAATCTCTGAATTCTTTGATAAACATGAACTGTCATGGAAAAAGTTGATAGGCGTATGCACAGACGGCGCTCCGGCAATGCTTGGATCTCGTTCAGGATTCGTACAGTTGGTCAAAGAAAAAAATCTCAACGTAATTACCATTCACTGTTTTATACACCGTCAAGCCTTGGCAGCTAAAACACTTCCAAACGAACTCTATGACGTCTTAAAATTATGCATTAAAGTTGTTAATTATATTAAAAAGAGTGCATTAAACACGCGGCTTTTTGCTGCTCTCTGTGAAGATTTGGGCACAGAACACAAGACATCGTTATTTCATACAGAAGTGCGCTGGCTTTCAAAAGGAAATATGTTGACAAGATTGTTTGAACTGCGAGATGAAGTAATTCAGTTTCTAGACATTCAAAAACAAACTGAATTATTTGTGGAATTTAAAACACCATGGGTCCAAGTAATATTTGCTTATTTATCAGATATTTTTGATTCATTGAACACTTTAAACTTGAAATTACAGGGTGGAGACTCGAACATAATTCATTATCGGGATGCTATCACAGCATACACTGAGAAGTTGCAACTGTGGAAACGCAAAATTTTGGCGTCTAACTATTCCTGCTTTCCTAAATTACTTGCGATCACAGAAGAAGCGTGTTTTAAGGAGATTTTGGATGTAATTGATACCAAGAATCAAATATCAAACCATTTGCAACACCTCACGGACGAATTCAAGCGCTACTTTCCCGACACGTGCAACAATATTATGTACCGATTAGCGACCGATACTTTTCACGTCGACATAGACATGCTGCCAGATACATTACAAGAGCAAGCATTAGAAATCAAAAATGATTCTGATTGAAGATGATTTTGAGATGATGGATAAGACACTATTTTGTATTAAATATCTCAAAGTTTATCCCAGCACTAAAATTATTTCTACTTTCTCAAGCACTTATTTGTGCGAAAAAGCATTTTCAGCAGTTGTAGCAATAAAAACAAAGTATAGAAGCAAATTAAATATTGCTAGTGATCTACGTTGTGCACTTTCTTCTACTGAACCCAGAATTGGAAATCTTGTGAAAACTATGCAAGCTCATCCGTCACATTGATTCTTCTTAATCTGAGGTGTGTAAAAGCCATATTTTTTTTAATAAATAAAACATCTGAAAATGTATTTGTGGACTTTATTTTACTATACAACGTTATTCTTTGTAAAATGTATACTTTTTGACGAAAAATATAACATGGTTTAAAAACTATTTGAATCGATTCTGTAACGGATTCCGAACAAACTACTTTCAGGTTTCACATCAAGTAGCAACAACCTTGTACACTCGTATTATACCCTTATTTTATAAAAAAAAATATTTTACAATTGCATGGCGAACCCACTTGCTGCTACTTGCTGGGCCCTGGGCCGAGGGGAGGCGTGGGCATATTAATTTTAAGCTGTAGGGAGGCGTGATACTTATAAGTTTGGGAACCCCTATCCTAGAGTATTATACCATTTTGGAATGTTGGTTAGTTGCGTCAATTTAAAAAAAAAACTTGCCATACTAGTGTTCATACTTTTTTTTACACCACGATAAGTTAAAGTTGGTTAAAAGTAAGTCTTCAAAAAATTTAGGGAATAAAATAAGTTTCATTAATTTTCGTAATAAAACAAGTTATTCTGGATTTTTTAAGAATTGTGGTAGATAGCAGTGCCATTCAGGTTGCCTATAAAAAAAAGAAACAAATATTAAAAAAATTGTGGTCATGGTAGTGAGAAATATCATAAACGGCCTCAATTTCTGAAGAATTAAATTTTTTTATATAACTTAAAATATGATTGGGATATATTTTTTTCTTTTTTTTCCCCGATTAGTCCGGGGCATATCTATCCTCCGGTGTTGGCTTATCGTTGAATTTTGGGACATGTAGTGCGAAAAATATATATAAAAAAAAAATTATACATGTTATTATAACTACAGATATTATACATATATAATATCTATAGTTATATATATTTGTAGTAGTAGTTAATTAACTAGCTTCCAGGCGGTGCTGTTGTCGGGGCAAATTTTTACGTTAGAGATTCTTATCTATTCCCGTATATATACTCTTATCTATGGTGGGTACTGAGTTGGCGCGAAAGCACAAGTATGTAAGTAAAACAACGAAAGAAACGACGAGCATGCAATAAATATTATCTCACCAGAGAATTCAAATTCCTATAATATTTCTTTGAGTTCAGTTTCCATTTAATTTCTGATTTCGAAGAAATAGAAATATTTATTGCATGCTCGCCGTTTTGATGAACGTAAGCTTTATAGGGTTAAACAGTGAAATATATTTGAAAACTCTCAGATCATTCTAGAATTTTTTATTACATCATAATATACGATGATAATATGACGGCGTCTGTGAACTACTATGAAAAGACATGGCTCACGAACGAAAATTATGTGGCTGTTTGTAATTCATTCGTAGTGCCTCACAGAACTACAAACTCGATACGACTAGATAATTTATTATTTTTTTTAACTTTTTGCTAACACATCTGCAATAACCTTTGTAACTGCAGATGTGTTAGAAAACGATTGCAAATGTACATTAAAAGAGACAAATTTAAACAGAATATACAATTATGTCTACTCAATAATGAAATTAGGGTTGGTCATTTACTGGATATATTGCAGAATTAGAAATTACCTATCATTATTTAAAAACTTTTCATTTAAAAAATTAACTTCCTTGAAGTTTAATTTGGTTTAAATTCAATATATAATATGTTTTTTTTTCGTTTAAGCTTGTGAATATTAAAAATTAATCAATAATATCTTAAAGTATGAATTTATTTTTTGTTGAACTGTATTTGAGCTGAAAAGGCAGAACAATAATCAAAAAGTGAATTCCGATTAGTTAGCAGAAACACAACAGGCCCAAATAAAAAAAACCCATCCATCCCGTCTAGGATGGATAAACGAACACGCGTTTTCGTGTATTCGGTGGTGTATAGGGTGGATTTCTCAGGGTGGATAAACGGAATAACCCAATAAATAAAGCTTAAATTAGCACATAAAGGCAAGCAAATTAGACACGGAAAGGTTCTTCTACTCGTTTTATAATTTCATAAGAAATTTATTAAAAATGTATTTTAAAATGGTACACCTATATTTATAAAAAACACGTTTGCATAATATGTACACATTTTGCCAGATCTCTCACGAAAAAGATTTTTCTCCTATGTGTATTTTCATATGCTTTTGCAAATAACTTTTTGTAATACTTCTATATTCACAGATATTACACGAAAAAGGTTTTTCTCCGGTATGTAATTTCATATGTCTTTGCAAATCACAGTTTCGAATACATTTATATTCACAGATATTACAAGAAAAAGGTTTTTCTCCAGTATGTATTTTCATATGTCTTTCCAAATTAATTTTTTCAATACATTTATATTCACATATACTACAAGAATAAGGTTTTTCTCCAGTATGTATTTTCATGTGTCTTTTCAATTTAGTTTTTTCAATACATTTATATTCACATATATTACACGAAAATTGTTTTTCTCCGGTATGTATTTTCATATGTGTTTGCAAATGACATTTATCAATACATTTATATTCACATATAGTACAAGAATAAGGTTTTTCTCCAGTATGTATTTTCATGTGTCTTTTCAATTTAGTTTTTTCAATACATTTATATTCACATATATTACAAGAAAATGGTTTTTCTCTGGTATGTATTTTCATATGTGTTTGCAAACGAAATTTTTGAATACATTTGTATTCACATATATTACATGAAAAAGGTTTTTCTCCTGTATGTATTTTCATATGTGCTTTCAAGGTACTTTTTTGAATACATTCATATTCACAGATATTACACGAAAACGGTCTTTCTCCAGTATGTATTTTCATATGTCTTTTCAAATTATATTTTTGAATACATTTATATTCACAGAAATCACACGAATAAGGTTTTTCTCCGGTATGTATTTTCATATGTCTTTCCAACTGTCTTTTTTCAATACATTTATATTCACAGATATTACAAGAAAAAGGTTTTTCTCCGGTATGTATTTTCATATGTGTTTGCAAATGACATTTTTCAATACATTTATATTCACATATATTACAAGAATAAGGTTTTTCTCCGGTATGTGTTTTCATATGGTTTAATAAATTTGGTTTGATTATACATTTATAATCACAATTATTACACCAGAACGCTTGTTTAGCCACGTGCGCTCTAAGATGAGCCAAAATGTAACCTTTACGAGATGTTTTAAATTCGCAAATATCACAATTAAACATTTCCGTTAGTTGTAGGACTGGAGTTTGTTCCACTTGTGTCCGAACTGCAGTTATATCTGAGTTCTTTTGCGTCTTATGACTGTGTGAAATGTGTTTGACGAGAATGTCTTTTGTTGAACATTTTTTGCTACAATGATCACATTCAAAATTGTATTTTGTTGATGCCCCTGACAATTTTTTCATAACCACATTTTTATTCTTTTGTTTCAAAATTTTTTTCGTAATCTGTGCATGACGATTCCCTTTTTTAATAACTGTTTGACTATCTTTTTTCAGGATTTCTGTGCGAACATCGTTTATGTTACAATCAGCAGAATTTGATTTATTTGTTAGTATGCGGTGTTGTTCTGAAATCATACGAATTAAACACTTTATTTATTGTAAGAGATTGTACCTTATTTGTAAGACATCCTAGACGGTTTACAATGGCGTTCTATATCATTGAACCTAGGGAGAAATAGAGAAATTATAAGATTTTACATAATTATACTCATATAATGTTGCTAGAGACACCTGAGACGGTTTACAATGGGCAAAGTTTATACCTTGTAGCGTTCTATATCAGTCAATCCAGGAGGAAATAGGGATATTATAATATTTTACATAATTATCCTATACCTTTAAACGAGCAATAAAAAAAAAAAAAAAAATATATATATATATAATCGGGATCTCGGAAACGGCTCCAACGATTTTCATAAAAATTAGTGTCCAGGGAGTTTCGGGGGCAATAAATCGATCTAGCTAGGATTTATTTTTAGAAAATGTACTTTTGTCCGTGTTTTCAGGCAATAAAAAAAATGCTACAATATAAGAAGGTAAATTTTGACGGTTTACCGACCATCGTAATAGCTCAGATGGGATGTTGTTTGGGCGTGATACCGGAGTTCCGTGGTTCGCGTCCCGTCTTGGGTCCGACTTTTTTTCCTTTTTTTTCAAGTTCCCTTCTTTTGTGAGAAAATCTATTATTTCGAGCCCTTTTATTAGTATATATAATATTTATTTATAGAAAATTTTAATTAAACTAATTGCACTCATGATTTTTTATTCAAATAACCAGTTCAGTTTTTTCTATTATGTCAATAAGATCAAAAACTATTATTCATGTAATTTGTATATAAATGTAACTTAAAAAAAACCGAGCAAAGCTCGGTCATCCGGGTACTACTCAATAATGTTGCTAGATATAAAGTATTTTAGCTAATTACTTGGGATAATGTCTCTCATATTCATTTTTGGGGGGAAAGAATGGCAAGGAAACTAAATTCGAATGATAATAATTACGTTCTTCTGACCGTGTTATAATTACATTAATCTAATAATCGCTGTTTCGAACCCCCACATGGAAAAAGTGTTATACATACATACATTTTGACCAGCATTTTTTAAGAATATAGTAGAAGTTGCCGTGTAGGTGCGGCGTAAGAGAATTCATGAACATATTTTGTCCCGTAGGTTTCGTAAGAGGCGACTATGGGTTTGCCAGAAAAATCTTATTAGCTTAGCTTAGTATAGTATAACCACCTCTTTTACTTTAGATGTAAAATAA